TTAAAATTTAAGAGAAAAGATGCTTAATTTTGGATTTTTGATCAAAAATTCAAAATTAAGCATCTTTTTCTCTTAAAATTTAAAATTATAATGTAAATGTATACTGATGCTTTGGACTCACACCGGTTCCCAGTTCCTAGTTTAACCATACTATCTGCAATAATAAAACGCACCTATAATATCTTTCCAGTTTCCAATGCCTGATTGTAGCACTCGTGGGTGTATTCTTCTTCCTGATGCATTTATATATAAGGGCAAAAACTATAAGACTTGTAATAGCTGTAGAAGTGTGAGAACTACTAACCAAAGCGATCTAGAAACATTTGTTGAGACAATTTTAATAAATGAAGTTAGTGACTATATTGCAAATACAACTGATAACCTAGAAAATCATACCAAGCTTTCTCTTACTTTTCATATTCGACTTGATAAAATCACGCTTAGTGGAGTTGGTACAAATGTTAAACTCATGGCTAAATTAATTATCGATGAAATAGAAGAAGGTGATAGCTACAGTTGGATGTATGTATAAATACATATCTACTATACTGAATTGATTAAAAGAACTTTTTTTAATATAAAATACCCAAGTATTTATATAATACACATATATATTTTACCAACTATAATGCATGAACATGTGCTCAAAATACTTCTGGGTATTTTATAATCTCTTTTATTTAGTATATATGGGCTGCCATCAATATAAATCGAGCAGATTAACATTTTACAAAAAATATTAATACTTTAATTTTCATAGCTCATACCTCAATGAATTTTGAAGCCATCTTAATTAATTAATATTCAAAAAAAGCTTAGATATTAAGCTTCTCTTTTAAATATTAATTAATCCAAATGGCTTCAAAATTCGTCAAGATATAAGCTGTAAAAGCTAAGGTATTATATGTTTTTTTTAAATGTTAATCCTATATCTTGTACTAAAATTTAGTCTTCTAATCAGTGCATGTTACCTCATTTAGCTAAATGCTAATAGCCAATTTATTTACAAACATAGTGCCACAACTGCACCAAAACTTTTATCTCATTACGATGGTATTGGAAATACGTATTTTTCATGTTCTCAAAGTGATAAATTTGAACGTGAATTTCAAGAATCAAGCTGCAAAAGAATCTTCTGCTACAACTGTAGTGGCAAGATATCGATTAAAATTGATATTTTGGCGGCAGAAGCTAAAGTAACTCTTAAACATGACCTTCAACACAACAAACCTATTGAGATTACAGTGCCAAATAAAATAAAACAAGAGATTAGTGAAAATCTACATTTAAGTCCTATAGAATTACGACAACATCTTCGCAAAAAATTTGATATATCAACTATTATGTCTAAACAAATCCACTACTGGTGGTCATATTATACTCAACAATTCTACAAAAGTGATGAAAATCACATTATTTCAGTACTTAAGTTTTTTGACTAACATGATAATTATTGTGCTTTATGCTTTCAACTTGAAACAGATAATATGACTGCTATTGGCTTTACAACATGTCTACTTGAAAAATATCATTATACGGAAGTCCATTGTAACGCCACTTATAAAACTTCCAAGAGACGATTCGAACTTTATGGCCTCGTTAATAATGTTGAAGGTGTGGAAAATTTTTTTTTTTTTTCTTAATTCTTATTTTTTTTCTTAATCTTTTTTTTAAATGATAATATTCTTATAACTAAGGTGCTGGTTTTCCACTAGCATATTTAATCTTGGATACTACAAAAGCCTCAAGAAATGATCAACAACAAGGACTACGAACTAAAGCGCTTACCAGCTTTTTTTACTCCCTTCATAATAAAGGATTAAATCCTATTTATTTTTATACTGTCAAAGATTTCGCCGAAATAACTGCTGCAAAAAATGTATGGCCCATAACTGATGTGCAGCTGTGCTTATGGCATATTGAAAAGACCATTAAAGAAAAACTTAGAAGAAATAAAAAGATTGAGCATACAAATTATAACTATGAAGAAGTTATAAAAGAATTTAGCTTTGTTAATCCATCTTTTATACCCGATTTGCAATGAACAGACAATGAGTATTATATCGTTTGCCCACCTGACCTTCGTAAAACCATTGTTGAAATGGTTAAAACATGCATTCTAAAATCCCTGTTAATGTTAATGGACATTTTTTGTTCTCTAATGAAATAAGAATCAAATTAGTTTCTGAAATATATGAGTTTTGTGCCATAAATAATCTTGCACTACTATGGACTTATCTTTGGTCCTCTTGGTATAAACCAACATGGTGGTGTCTTTGAGCATGTTCTACCCGAATGATAATACCGTTAAGCAAAACAAATAATATGGTTGAAGCACACTAGCGAGTATTAAAACATTGTTACCTTTCTTATCTTAGCTGCCCACGACTTTGACTATTTAATATGGATTATCTGTTCGTGTGTTATACTTGATCAAGCCAACCGACTTCAGCAACTGCTGTCTGGTAGAATAACACCATCCTGGTTTGAGGAATTTAAAAAACAATGGAAAAACCTCCTTACCAAACCATTTAATAATGTAGAAGACTGATATTTCATTGATCTAAATTGTTGGATTTGTCGCTGTCCATCTTTTCTTTATAGCTATTTCCTCATGTGTAAATATTTAATTCATAAAGTATCAAAACAATCTCAGGATATTAGATTAATATATTCTAACTTTAAACGACGATCCGATTACTCTTTCTTGATATGGGATAGAAGCGAATCACATGCATCTGAAAATATAGATATATATAATCAAGTTAATATATTTAACCAACATGATACGAATGAAGATTATGAGAATATTATCGAAAAGCATCAAATTTTAGAATCCAAAATAGCAGCATTGCAACATTTGGTCGACCATCTTAATAAAGAACAGATTGCAAATAATCTATAGCATGTAGAAGCTGTCATTAACCATCTAAATCATGCTTTTACTATCCACTCAGACATAGAAAAGACAAAAAACCAGAGAGTATGATGTACAACCTGGCATGAATCGAAGCCTTGGACCCTATTTTTGAGCAATAATGATACCTAATAAAAAAAAAATTTTTCTTAATTATTTATTAAACTAAAAAAAAAAAAATTAAAAGGAGAATAAAGTTATAAGCTTTATCTAATACATTATCAAATATGTTACTTTAAGTTAACTACCTGAACTATATTAAATAAAATTTATTTACTATTACGCAAAGTGATCAAAATTGATTTAAATATGCTAATTAGCTAAATCCATAGAAGAGCCGAAAAAAGCATTTAAACCTTCGTGTAGTTATTAAATAGTTTGTCAAAACCTTTGTATAGTATTAAATAGTTTGTTAAAACCTTTGTATAGTTATTAGGCAGCAGACTATTGATTGTTTGATTATAGAAGAACTAATAGAACGACTTGTACTCTATCACTATTGTTATTTTGCGCATAAAATTTGTTATACAACTGTCATACGTTGGTACGACGTAGATGATCATCATCTCGGAAATCATGTGACAGTAAAATCGATCCTACGCCCTGGTGTAGTCACTATTTTCTGAATAGGTTTAAAGTTCGATTTAATACTTTGAAGCTTTTTTTTTTTTTTGAGAAGATTATTGAACTTTTCAAGACAATCAAGTACCTAAAATATAAAATTAATAAATATATTTATTTAAACACAAAAATATAATAATAATAAAAAAAAAAATTCTTTTATACTTTATGAAGAGTTTTTTGTACTTTTCTAAAATTTCAGATTCGGATTTACTACTATTAGTACTTGATTCCTCATTATCTATATTCTGGTTTTCTGAATTCACTAGATCAATCATTAAGTTGACTTGTGTATAATTAATTAAGGTTGAAGTTTGAATATTTTTCCATAAAGTTTTTTTAGCTTCAGTAATTAAAAGATATTAAGAGTTTCATTGTATCTGAATTAATATAATATTAGATTTAGAAAAATTTTTTTTAACTCATATTCATTAGCTATTTGGGAAATATCACAACAATCTCAAGATTCATAAGCATATTGCTTTTTCTTTCAAAATCCATAAGTTTTTATAAACTATATATTTAAACTTTTTAATTTTTATAGCATTTTCTTTTTGCTTGTGAATATCATTTAAAATTTGATCTTCATGTTCTTATTTTTGGCTTTTATTTACACAGTTTATGTATTAAAAACATGATTTATTATTAATTTGAAATTCATATTAATTGGTTTTATAATTTGACAGAATGAACAAAGTTTTGTAAAAGGTATATGTTCTATTTCAGAAAATAATATGATATCTATAAAAAATTATAATTCAATATTTGTGTTGCACTCTGTAATATAATATTTTTGTCACAAATCATATATAGTATAAATATAATAATTAATTGTCTATACTAATTAGAGCTCGATTCTATTTTTTTAGGACTATCCGGATTGAATCTGTGTTCTCTTTTATGAATCTAGTTATAATTTGAATTGAATAAATTCGAATTTGATTCAAATTCAAACTGGAAAAATCATTGATCGACCAATTAAAATTGTGAATTTTAAGCTAGTAGAAAAAAAATTTTTTTAATATACATATATAATTTTATTTTATTATTATTACCAGATATAAGACCCGTTATTAAACAATAGATTAGATTTTAATATCTTTATTACTATACTCTGCAGGATAAAGGTAAATAATCAGCATTTCCAAAACTTCCTTGCATAATACATGACATCATGTAAGTTTTGGCCAATCATTAATATAATATATGAACAATAATTATAGTAAATAAAGTAAAATAATCATTCTAATAGCTCTTTACGGTTAATGTTAAGATGAGAAACTTTGTATTCTAAAATCATTCTAACATCTCTTTATAGTTAGTAAAGTTCCAATCCATCATCCATATCTGAATTATTCTAATAATCAGATCACTCAGATATCTGGATAATCTTGATATCAATAGTAAACAAAATATCTAAATAAATTCAGATCTGGATATCTGATAATTATCCTTAACAAATCGAACCTCTAATGATTAGTATTAGAATAAGATTATAAACTAGATTTTTTTTTTTTTTTTTTAATATTGAGGTGACCACTTAGGCTCCTAGCACTTTATTAGTTCAAACAGGTGGGCTGTCCGAAAACTGGCTTACATATTATATCAGTATAACGAGAGTACAACTAGTCACACGTACAACTTTTGGTTGCCTATTTAAGTAG